TCGCGGCCGACGAGCCGTCGGTGAAGAGGATCCATGTGTCATCAGGCTCTGGCCCGAGGGTGGTAGCAGTTGTCTCCCTTGCCGTGCATTCGGTGACGAAGTCGGCCAAGACTTGCCCTTTTATAGATGGCCTTGGCTTGATCTCAATCTGAAATTGGCTGAGGAAGATCTCCCATTTCACCATCCTTGAGGAGCTAGTGGGGCTCCTCATGAGTGTGCCAAGGGGCTGCTGGGTCAGTACGTGGACGGCATGGGCCTGGAAGTAGTGCCCCAGCTTTTTCACCATATGGACGATGGCTAGCACTGTCTTCTCAATGGGGGAGTACCTGAGCTCGGCCTCCCTAAGTGTCTTGCTGATGTAGAAAATGGCCTTCTGCACCCCTTCGTCTTCACGGATGAGCACGGAGCTGATGGCCGACGTGCTCACCCCCAAGTACAAGAAGAGGGTTTCGCCGGTTTTGGGCTTGGAGAGCACTGGTGGGGACGAAAGGTACCTCTTCAGCTCTTCAAATGCTTCCTGGCACTCTGTCGTCCATCTGAAGCTGTTTGCTTTGCGCATGATCTGGAAGAAAGGGAGTGACCTTTCGGCTGATTTGGAGAGGAAACAGCTCATGGCCGCCAGTCACCCTGTCAGCCGTTGCACCACTTTGACGCTGCGGGGCGGCTCCATGTTGATGATAGCTTGTATCTTCTCCGGATTTATTTCAATGCCTCTCCGGCTGACCATGTAGCCAAGGAACTTGCCGCCTTGGACGCCAAAGGCACACTTCTTGGGGTTGAGGAGGAGTTTGAACTCCTTCATGATCTCAAAAATTTCCCTGAGGTCGTCAGCATGTGTGGTGGCTCGCTTGCTCTTGACAATCATGTCATCGACGTATGCCTCCATTGTCTGGCCGAGGACTGCTCTGAAGATCTTGGCCACCATCCTGGTATAGGTGGCGCCGGAGTTTTTGAGCCCGAAGGCCATGACGAGGTAACAAAAGATTCCCTCCGGGGTCATGAAGGTCGTCTTCTCTGCGTCATCCTCATGCATGAAAATCTGGTGGTACCCTCTAAAGGCATCAAGGAACGACATCAACTCGCATCCCGCCATCTCGTCCACCAACTGATCAATGTTGGGGAGAGGGAACGAGTCCATGGGGCACGCCTTGTTCAGGTCAGTGTAATCAACGCACATTCTGAATGTCGACGGTTTTTGGGCGAGGACGACGTTGGCTAGCCACGTCGGGTACTTCACCTCTTTTATGTAGTTGATTGAGAGGAGCATGGCGACCTCCCCTTTGACGAAGTCCCGTCTGTCGACGGATAAGTAGCACCGCTTCTGCTTGACAGGCGCAGAGGCTCGATCGACGGTCAGCCGGTGAGTGATCACCTGTCGGCTGATGCCTGGCATGTCGTCCGGGCCCCACGCGAAGATGATGGCGTATGACCGTAGGATGAGAAGGATGGCGTCCCGCTGGTCCTGCGGGAGTTGCTTCCCGATTTTGAGGACCCGCTCCGGCCGGGAGGTATCCGGGGGGACCTCCTCGACCTCCTCGACCGGTTCGGCATGCGGTCTTTCCTCGTCCTTGGCAACGGCTGCCGTGATGGTGTCTATTCTCTTCCCTTCCCTCTCGGCCAGCCTTGTTAGCTTGAGGTAGCATGCCCTGGCTATCCTTTGGTTTCCTCTAGCGTAGCCGATTCCGCCGTTGGTGGGGAACTTCAGGCATAAATGCTTCATGGAGATGATGGCCTCCAGGTCCTCCAGTGCTGGCCGCCTCAAGATCAGGTTGTGGGCGCACTGAAGGTTGACCACCATGAACTCCATGTCAATTTTGGCACGGTGGGAGCCGTCGCCGACCTCCACGGGGAGGACTATCGTGCCCTCGGCGTCGATAGAGTCCCCGGTGAAGCCGGACAACGATGTCTTGATCGGCTTCAGCAGGGCTTTGTCCAGCTTCAGTTGCTTGAAGGTGTCTAGGTACATCACGTTGACGGAGCTCCCCGTATCGATGTAAGTACGGTGGATAATGGAGTCACCGATCTCACACCGGATGACGAGGGCGTCCCTGTGTGATTCCGTACCCGGAGGCAGATCCTTGTCGGTGAAGGTGATCGCCTCTGTTCGATGCTTCTTCGGCTGGGGGGGAACGTGGGACACCTCCCCAATGTAAAGGGATTGAGCCCATTTCTTCCTCTGGGTGACGGAGTCCCCCCCAGTATTCCCACCTACGATGAGGTGAATATGGTTCTTCTTTGGCAGTGGCTCTTCAAAGTCTTCGTCGTCGCTGAGCCTACCGATGCCCCGTTTCTTCGTAGAGGGTTCACCCCCAGGTTTGCCGGTGTTTACCCCCGTATTTTTGCGTGGGCCACCTTTAAAAATTTGGGAGAGTTCCCCCTGACGAATAAGGCGCTCGATGGCTTTCTTCAGCGTGATGTAGTCATCGATGTTGTGTGAGCAGTTCTTGTGAAATCGGCAGTATGTGCCGCCTTGCTGGATGGCAAGGACCTCCTCGGCCGGCCGAGGAGTTTGTTCAATGAGGCCATGCTTCTCGGCATAGTCGAGGATGGTGCTGACCGGGTGGGTGAGGGGGGACCCCCGGCCGTTCCAACCTCGGCCGCCAGTGGCGGTCCTTCTTGCTTTGTCCACCAGAGCCGTGACGGCCCTGGGCACCCTAGCCGGCCAGGGATGCTCCCTGGGCCGGCGAAGGATATGTCTTCTTGGAGGGATGGCCTCCCTCTTTTTTGTGGTTGTGGAGCTCGTCGGCGTCGGCGTACAAGCTCCCGAGCTGGAGCGCCTTTGCATACGACCTCAGAGGGTCGGTGATGAGGCTCCTAGCATACGGGGAGCTGCGGAGGGCTCCCTGGTATAAGGCGAGGAGGGTGCGCTCATCGGCCCCCTCGACCTCTTCAGTCTCCCTCATCCACCGATCAATAAATAACCGGAGGGGTTCGTCGTGTTGTTGCTTGACGGGGAGGAGATGGGTGAAATATTTCTTCGCACGCTTCCTCCCGGTGAAATGGGTGAGGAAGCGCTGGGCGAGGTCCTACCACGAGTCATTACTTCCTTCGGGAAGCGCGTTGAACCATTCGTACGTCGGCCCCTCAAGAGTGGAGAGGAACCAACGGCAGAGATATTCATCCGACGCATTCACCATCAGCATGTTGTTCTGATAGCGGCTGAAATGTTCCTGAGGATCTGATCGGCCATCGTAGGACTTGATGGCGTTCCCCATGTACTTCTCCGGGATGGGGGCCGAGAGCACCCTGTTAGTAAAAGGGGTCCTGGTCCTGACCTGGATGACGGGGTCACCTCACCCTTCAGCCAACTCCCTCTCAAGGGCGCTGACCTTGTTCATGAGAGCGTTGAGGCCAGGATCGTTGGAGGCGCCGGCCGTGGGGATGTTTGCCGATTTCCTGGCCTCCATCTGGGCCAGCCTCCTCTCCAGCTGGGTGATGACCTCGTCCCGGGGATCCCTGGCGGCCGCAGCGGCGCCCTGCTGGTTCCTCATGCGCTCGTCGTGGGCCGCATTGATCTGGTGGCGCACGTCGTCCTCGTGCAACTTTCCCTTTCCCTTGTCCAGGCGGGGCTGGTCCGCTGTCCAGGACACAGACCCCAAGCTTTCTCTTGGCGAGGCGGGCCGACGCTCACCAATCTGCCCTGCCATCCTCTCCGAAACCGGACGACGGCGCGTGTCACCTAGCCTATTGAAGGCAGAGGCTTTTCCACGCGCTGGGGTCTGCCCAGGCCAAAGAGGGGAAGCGGGGTGGGAGTGGGACGACGCCGTGTCCTGGGCTATCACCCCCTCATCGTTGCCTAACCTGACGGCCAACGGCTGGGGCTGAGGAGGTGGAGTGACATTCCCCCCAGTCCTTGGCAAGAGTGCGCTGAGGACGGTGGGGTGCTAACGACGAAGGGTGCTAACTTGATTGTTCTAGCTCTCAATGAAAGCACCAAATGGTAGAGTATATATCTAGAGAGAAGTGAGAGCTAGAGAGAGAAGTGCAAGTAAATGCTTCAATAGAATGATTTTGTAACCCCTATAACTACCTCCAGAGAGAGAAGGCCCATTTACAACTGGACCGCTATTGGGCCGAATACAAAGTAAATGATGGGATATATAAATGAATAAGTGTAAAATCTAGTTCTGCGTGACCTCTGTGGCCGACGAGGGTCTGGCCGACGAGGGCACGGCCGATGAGGGCACGGCCGACGAGGACACCCTGGTTCCCTGGCTTCAGGATCATGTTCTGAGTTGGTCCCTCTTCGGCCGTCATGGGTCCTTTGGCCGACGAGGGCACTCTGTAGTGGCTTGTACCTTCTGTTCTTCTGAGTATGTGGGTCCTGGGGCCCAAACCCATATACTCCATCATGTATAATTATAGAAGAAAATTCTACTCGCATTACTTAGCTCAATAATGCCTAAGGTAGGACTATAGAAGCTTGTATTCTTCTCTAATCAATACATCACTTATTTGTGACTTTTGCATTTATATTCTTGGGCTACAAGCCGTGTGGGCTACCCTCGAGTGGGCCTAGGGCGCCATTCTTGAATACTTACTATTTTTAGCAGGTTGGGCCCAAAATAGCACTTTAGTTGCCCGACCTTCCTTATTTTGAATCGAAGGGTTATACTCTGTATATCATTATTTACATAGTGTTGGGCTCCTATATCTAATAAGATAGCCCAACTAACTATTTGAAAGCCCATTACTATAATACGAGCCCGAATGGTAGTATGACCAATCATGCATTACGTAAAACATTAATCGTTTTACAATTGTTCGATAATAGGGAAATCAATACATAAACTTTGAAATTTAAATTGAATTTCAAGGACGTTCGGGTGCGGTGTCACAAGTTACTTTAGTGTTTCTTTGTAGGTGTTCATGGTATACAAATGGTTGAGATATCGACTCCATCTATGTAGAAAATCAATACGTCATTAATATAAATAACCTAACTATTTTATTTTTAAAGCAGAGAAATGCATTATGTAACAGATACATACTACGTAATTCATATACAAACCATACATATCAATTATTGATGCTAATAAACCGATTACTAGAAGCAAGGCAACTGTCTTGATCTGTTTTCCATGAAGCGATCATAAAGTATTATAAATTTATTTCCTAAATCATGTGCAACCATCATCAAAACCAATGAATGCACATGAAAAATATTGTAGCTTTCAATGTTAAAGCCCACGTGGTGATGTAGGAGTCCAACAAACTATCGCCTAGAAGTAATATATCTCATAATTCTTTGTAATATATACTCAGAATCTTATTTAGAATACAAAGACATTAACCAAACCCAGGAATACTAATCTTGAGCTAGGACCAACCAACAAACTGGATAATTCAGTCCTTAATCCTCTAGTGATGCTGAAAAATGGGAAAAGATTGAATTGAAGCTTTACACAGTTCAATGTAACACTTTAAAACTTGAAATTAACAGTTCTCAAGGTTGACATTTCAGAAAAGACAAATGACAACTTGGACATAATACACAAAAGTGGCTGCCATACATCAAGAGAGTTTTCTAACACCATGTCTATTCTAATAGTTCCGCTAGTCAATCTTCAAAATCTAGAATCTCATTTTAAGTATATGCAACATATTATTAGAGGATAAGGACCAAAGCTTAAGGAACAAATAAAAACTTATTAGAGACAAAGAACTAATTATATGAAGAGAAAAAACACATTAATCAAGCGAAAGAACACGGAGAACATTGATTTTGTTCCACATTATTCTCATCAATCAAGAATCTAGTTCCGTAATTCTAAAAACAAAAAGAAGAACTCTAAAAGTGCAGAAATCTACACAAATTTCATAGCCATGTATTATTCTCCGATCATGAATTTTGTTCTAGATTATTCTTTGGGTTTTAATACAGTTTGCTAACTATTCACATCATGCAACACTTTTCATAAAATCCATCCGACTAATTTAGTAAGAACATATATTTCATTTAACATCACTCGTAACTTAATCAAACAGAGAATTTAGAAAAATACCTGGAAGACTTTCAAGTTTCACGCAGATGCAGAGAGCATATGCAAAGAGTAGATGCATAGAGCGGATGCGCAAAGCTGATGTGAAGCAAAAAGTATGGAAAAGGAATTTGATGAAACTCTTTTGAAGCTACATTTTTGGGATTTAATTGAAATGTTTTCACTTGCCGCCAAGAACTTCCCCGGGTGATAAATTTTTGGCCGAGTGAGACTGTTGGACAGGCTTCTAAAAGTAGAAGGTCAAGTCGAGGGTGTGCGTTTTTTCCTGTTCCAACTCAGTAACACAGGGTATGCACATTCTCAATGGATTAAGTAAATTTACTCTAAAGTCAATTTATCTGATGTGGCATATCATTTTAAAATAATTCATACTCTCACTAAATATGATCTAAAGATCCTCTTAGAGCCAACACTTTAAGATGAAGAAATTAAACACATGTTCTTTTAAGAGACAACAACTACTAAGGAAATTAAAAAAATCATCTAGTTTAGAAACCAGCGAAATTATTTTGTGAGTAGGAAAAGTTTTTCAGTCGAATCCCAAATTCGATAATCACCATTACAATACAAATGAAAGTATGTAGTTCCTCACAAAGCATGAGGAAAACTCAAAGGCTTCCCGACATGTGATAGTTCGATATGGGAAAGGCAAAAACAAGTTAGGGCAAACTTTAAACTTTAACACTTATCAATGTAAGCGAGAATATCATGCTATGTTGCCAAGTGATTATAAATTCAATATGAAATAATGATTTAATCTCACTCAACCAGATGACATTCCAGAGAATCAAACATATACAAAACACTAACCGATTGAAGAGAATTCAAATTTTGTTGGTATTATAGCTTGAAATGATGAAGCCATTGATGTGTATAGATTTTCTAAGAATACAAATCTTTGAGTTCGATGGATTGATGGGTTTCCATTGGGTCTCTTAATAAAGGTGTTCTTGAGAGCCTGAGGAAGAGACCGTTGTTCTTGAAACCCTTAGGAAGAGGCACATATGTTCCTCTTACTCCAAAGAACAGACGAATACTTATATTTTGTATCAAAGAGAATTTTGTTTGGTCCTTCATGTGTATTTAATGTTAAAACATATTCATCATATGTTAGTTATACATAAATAAATACATAGACCAAATTTGTCATATGGTAAACTTAATGGTAAGGGCTAAATGTCCGCAATATTTTTAAAACTTTACATAAATGATCCAATAGAGTAATTCTATATGCAACCCTCAAATTGATATTCAAAATCACTTGATTAAATAAAAATAACTTAAGTATCTAAATTACCCTTTTTAACTAAAAACAACCGTGAATGTTACTTCACGCATTGTTCATACACAGCGAGGCTTCCTCTCGGCGCAATGGAGTACAACATATTTGATGCGAGGCTTCCTCTCGGCGCGATGGAGTCCAACAGATTTGATGCGAGGCAGCGATCAAGAACAGCGTTGTTTCGACAGAAAAACGCGAGGCCCGATTTTCCGATTTTGATTTGGTTATTTTGGCTTTGAGGGTAATTCAGATGGGGGCGAGGCACCAGCTGTGTTCGATCCGGGTGGAACGCTGGGTCCCGGTTATATCCGCTAATCTTCTCATCTCTTCTACGAACTCCCTCTCTCTCCTCTTCTATCGACATGTTCCTTTTTCTCTATTTCCAATTCATTTTCCGGCTTCCATAATGATAATGGAAGCCGGAAAATGGGGCAGAGTGGGCACGCCTCCTAGGCAGAACAACTGAGGCAGTCCACGTGAGCTGAATGAGATGAGGTGTGATAACCATTCTGTGGTGGTGACTTGTTGCGGCGGCAAACCACCTAGGGTAAGTCTTCCCCTCCTTTTCCTTCTTCTTCTCCTACTACCCCTCCTCAGAATTTGATTTTGTTCGCCCTCTTTGGAGAGGGTGATGGTCACCCCCTCACTTCTCTACTTGCCATGTGGCAATCCAATTTCTTTATTTTTTCAAATTGTTATAATTTTTATATTAATGGTCCATTTTTTATAAAAAAATGTATAAAATTAAAAATTTTATTATCTTTCTAATGGTACCATTAGTGCACCTGGTACAGGTTAAATTAACTCCAAATACATGTTGGAAAAATGTGTTAAAATTGCATTAAATTGTCAATTTGGAGCAATATTTTGAGTGGAGTCCACTTCCGATTTGGATGGGGTCAAAGTTGTTTCAGATTGTCCTTGTTAAGAGATACAATTCGATATATGGTACACCAAAACGGATAACGGGTGAATGAGAAATTGATTCTCGAAGTTCACTCGTTGAAATGGAAAAACTGGGAAAATGATGAGTTTCTAGTGGGATTTATCCCACACCGGAAAACTCAATGGATTTTCACCCTTTATAAAGGGAACCCCCTTGAAGGAGTTAAGATTCGTAAGGGGAAATGCACTCTTCATGCGTGGGAGGGTATCAAATCCCGAAAACGGAGAAGAAAAATCGTGACTTGCGTGCGCGGGCGACCTGTGGACACACATGTCCTCCAAAAACCTATCGTTCAAAGATACGATCTAATTTTTGTTTCTTCCCGTAACGTTTTATTTTTTCCCAGAACCAGAATTGCTTGGACAGATGGAGCCGCTTCTATTCTACGCACCAGAAGACCTCAGAGCAGTTCTGGTCGCGCACCTGAACGGTTCTCAGCCGTTACAAAATTTATTGCCCAACGTTCTTATCTTTTAATGTTTCTTTAAATGGACAGTTTTCGACATATTAATGACCAACATGCTGGTCATTTATGTCCAACGTTCAGGTCCATTAAAACTCAGTTAACACACCACAAATCCGTCCCTATATATACCTGGCATGCGTTTTGCAACAACACATGTTCATACACAGCACAATTAGCACAACGTTTTGAGCTAAAACACACCTTCAGTATTCCAAAAAATTTATTAGTGTTCTTGCTTGCTTTCCATTCGCTGGAACAATTTGTTGAGTGCTCAAACAATTGTTCGTAGTCATCGTTCCTGGGAAACGATCGTTGCAACGCTCCTAACACCTAGGGAGACAACGAGTACGTTTTAAGGACATCGTGCGTAACACGGACTTTGGCTAATTTCTGTTCCATCTCTTTTTCATTTTTCTTTAACTATTTTAATTAATTTTTATTAGTTAATATTCTTCATTTTTTTCGAGACACACCCAATACAATCTGGATACAAAAAAATACAATCGAATGTAAAACCTCGTTATTAGTGTCAGAAAGAATTATCATCATCATCATGTCATTAATTTGAACTACACAAGTTGGAGGTTGCAATACATAGATGGTCGTATTCCAACCGCTGAGGTCATTAGGAAATGTGCGACTTCCAACCGCTTTGTGTAAACAGTTCGTGCCACCAATCTGCTACAAGCCCCAACCGTGACCAGCCGGGTCGTTCTCATCGTCGTCGTCATCATCATCATTATATACTGTTGTTGTTACTTTTGAAATTATTATCATTATAACTAGCTACTTTATTGCATAATCCTGAAAATGGAACATCACAAAGTGTGTTAATGGAATAAGCACACCTTATTATTTTCTAATAAATAAATAAATCACTTAATGACCAGGACAACGTACAATATATATAATATAAATTACCTTATTGATTGTTGCATATGCTTTAAGCATTGACTGAACGTCTACCAGTCTTGTAATTTGGCCACCATAGGCATGTCGTTGTGCAAAGGGTTGGGTCCAGTCGGAGTCACGGTATCAGAGCCGCCAGCTGAAGATAACCTCTCATGTATTTCCATTTCTGAAGGGCTAAACCCAAATTTCCTTAAAATTTCCTTCTGATTTGGAAGCTGGATATCATTTAGTGTACGTGCATGACAGAGTACTGTTAAATATGTGAAAAGTACAACAAGTGTAACTTTTGAGATAGGAATTGTCATAATATATGTAAACTTCAATTCAAAAATATAATATAATAATAATACTACGTACTAAGCAATAAATAAAAGAAAATGATCAAATTTTGATAAGCTTGAATGCTAGAAGTTGAGGGAATAAGTAAATGACAACCCAATTTGGCTATTTATAGAGCTCGCGCACACATGAAGTGGTTAATACTTGGTAATAAATACTACCAAATTGTTTTGCAAATTTGATTTTTCTTAGTCAAACAGTTTGACTTTATTTGCTTAATTAGGGTGTCAATTTTCAATTATATTCTACTTTAGAGTTTGCAACTTAGATGAAGAGATTTTAATGTAGTTCCTGAATATGTAAATTTTAATTATTAAAAATTGAATTAATTATCGATAGGAAGGATTGACTTTTATTATTGATTGACTAAAAAATGTTGACTTTGCAAAACGTACGATTTGAGACAAAAAGAGTAGTTTAATTTGAGAAGTTATATATAGATTACTCTCTCTGTCCCTAAATGTTCTTCCAAATTAAAGTGACATGGTGATTAAAAAGTGGGAATTGTGTAGTGGAGATTTATGCAGAGGAGAGATAAATATTGTGAACCACAAATTCTTTACCAAAAAGGGAAAATAAAATTCCTTTGGGGACGGATGAAAAGGAAAAGTTGGAAGTAAATTTAGGGACGGAGGGAGTATGAGATATAGCTGATATGGTGTAATAAATTTCCGTAAAAGAACATGGTGAAACTAAAAGTAAACGGATAAGTGTTCCTCCTGTCATTTAAAAATGGTAAAATATAACGCAACATGGGTGATTTAATTTTTTAGTCATATTCTCATGCTAATTTTTCTCCATAAGAAATCAAGATATGTGAAACATAGAGAGATTTTACTTTATTCATGTCATCCCGTTTTTTGGTGATAAGGATTTCACTAACGTGTGATTGATTTGTAATATTGAGTCTAATGTTGAAAAAATTGGCCGTATAATTAGTTAGGAACTTAGGAGGATGTAAGAAACTCTTCATGTCATTTTAGGTGGGATATGTAGATGAGTAAGATAGAGAAAAAGGTAGAGAGATGAGAAGAAAAAAAGAAATGAATGAAAAATGGAGAAGAAAAAATGGAGAGGAACTGCACACATTTTAATGTTATTACTTTGGGGTTATTTCCCGGTAGTGCCAACTTTAGCCACCCTTTTCTTTACGGTAAAATATATCATACACCTGGATGTACCGTGTGATTTGGTGCATCAAGTTATTTTTGTAATTATTTGTAAAGATGAGGTTATTAATTACTTAGCATTGCATTTGCTACTTTTCCGTGGCTGGAGGCTACAAGGTATTTTTTTTTGTCTTCCGTCGTTGCTCTTCCGTTTACTCTTTTTTCTTTTCTTATTAGTTTACACTTTTTCCTTATCCACTTATCATTTGATTGTAGCCTAAGCCTTGCTTCTCGTTTTTCCTTTTTACTTTTTTATAGTTCTGGTATTTCATTTTTCTTTTCTTTAATTTTAAACTTTAAGTTTTCTATGTTTACCTTCTCTTTTATGCTTTGGTTTTTCTGTTTTCTTTTCCTTTAATTATGAACTATTCTAACTTTAACATTTCTTTTTCTTTTTTGTATATACTTTTTTTCTTCTGGTTCTCTAATTTTGAACTCTTACTTTTTTATTTTTATGTATTTTTCTACAATATTTTTTCATGCAATTCTTTCCAAAATTCATATTGAATGACAATAATTCAATAAAAACATATACTTCTCTCACTCTTCTATTAAAAGCTCCAACCTTCTCAATAATTATGAATACATTATTTAATTTAAATGTGCATTGATATAATTTTAAGAAATAAGCACAATAAAATTGCTGGCCTGGTCTAAAATAAGGAATTGATGCTTCTTTATGTTATACTGATACGAGCATACATAAATTGATATTTGAGCAAACTAGAGATTTTAAATTAGCTTTTTAATTTTTGATGCTCATTTCGTACGTTATCTATGCTCATTTGAAATTGGTGTAATGCTCACTTTAAAATGAGCATTACACCAGACAATATAAAATGCCATATCCATGCATATTGGCGTAATGCTCATTTTAAATTTTTCTATACTCATTTAATAAATTATGTATTAGCATT